TCTTTTAATGAATCATTGCATGTAAGTACTAGAGGTGTAAAGCGAAAATTAACCTGTGAGAATTCAATCTCGTTATGGTACAAGAGATTAGGTCACGTCTCCAAGAGGAGAATTGAGAGACTTGTGTCTAACGAAATTCTTGATCCCCTTGATTTTACAGATTATGACATGTGACTTAACTAGATAAAGGGAAAACAAACCAATAAAATGAGATTTCAAGCAAACAGAACTTTGGATTAAAATCGTCATATCTGACCATGTTGGTGAATACTATGACGATATGACGGTTCAGGTAAACAACGTCCAAGACCATTTGCTAAATTCCTGTATCGTCTCACAGTACACTATGTCGGGTTTGCCCACTATGAATGGTGTTGCTGAACGACGAAATAGGATGCTTAAGAATATGGTGAGGAGTATGATTATTCATTCTACCTTGCCAGAATCACTCTAGGGTGAAGTATTAAAGACCGCAATGTATATACTCAACATAATTCCAAATAAGACCACTGATAAAACCTCTTTTGAGCTTTGGACGAGCAATATGTCTAGTTTGAAGCACGTACACATTTGGGGATGTCCAACTGAGGCAAGGTCTTATAGGCCAAATGAAAAGAAACTGGACCCAAGGACTATCGTTGCTATTTTATTGGATATTTTGAAAACTTCAGGGTTATGATCCCACAACTAAGACAATATTCGAGATAGGAAATACTCTGTTCTTCGAGGATGTTGAGTTTGCCGGAGAGGGGGGAAGAAAGGGTTACAGACTTTGTCTTTGAGGAAGAATATGTTGAAACTTCTCCAATTGCCATTGAGAATGATCAGGATCGGGATCAGGTTTCTATCTATGATATTGTTCAAGAAGCAACTTCGAATCAAGATAATGTCGTTGTATCTCCCTTCGAAGGTCAACAACTTGTTTCAAAAGAACAAACTCTACAGCCTCAAGACCAATGCTATTTAGAAGACCGACTAGAGAATGAGAAGTGCGGTTTCAGATGATTACATCCTATTTTCCCAAGAACATGAAGTTGACATTGGAGTAGTGGAAAATGATTCAATCAACATCCGTCAAGCCATAAAAA